AATTCTACAACAAAAACTAAACAAATTAAAATTTCAAACTTTAGAATTTTTAAAAATTCAACAAATCTTTAAAAAAAATTCATAAAAATTTAAATCTTTGTATCAGAATTTTTAGAAAACTTTCGGATATGCAGCATTACGTATAAAATAGTGCAAGTTTGAAGTGGTACACAATTCGCGATGATTTTGGTGAATGTTTTTCGTTGAAGGTGTTGTGCTTTCTCTTCCATATAAAGCATGGTAAAAACTTTTTTTATACGAAAGAAAGCGCGTGAAATCGCAGAAGAAAATTATGAAAAATCCACGAGACTTTTTAGCAACTTCAGAGTTGCAATTTATTCTGCTAAAATTTAGTAAGCTATAAAACTGTATACCAAACATTTTTCTAGAAATTCAAATTAAAAACCTGGGATTGGAATGAAAAGTTTGTGAAATTTTTCTAGTTTTTGTATAGTTTGAAATTTGAATGTAAGTATATGGCTTTAATTACATATTGAACTACACTTTTATGAAAAATAGTGACCTTAAAAAATGTAAAAAAAAATAAAATGTTGATGTGCTATGCTTTTGTCGCGGACTGTACGTACCTTTGCAGTTCTATGTTCCAGCTGACATTCCCTCTTCCCTCACTTAGCAACCCACATATGTAAACGCATTTATGTATATCAAGTACGCGCATATTTAATAAACTTCAACTTACAATGCAGCTGTTGTACTTTAGTAGATTATGCGGAATCACGAACTTCGTGATGTGTCACAATATACGCGCACTCACACTCCGCAGTGATCATTCTCCTTAAGTACCTACTAGATATTTCACACACATAGTACTCTTATTCCATTTGAAATTTATTCGCGGTATTGATTGACAGACACACCGATTGATTAGCTTCATTGTTACCTACAAACACTTGTTAGGGATCATTGTCACTCATACATATGTACATATGGGGACCCTACTTTGGCATAAACTGTCGGACAGTGCGGCCCAATGAGTGATGAATGATATTGGGTGGGTGTTGAATAAGTAGAGAAACAAACCCAAGCCTGAAATGCCGACAGCGTGTGAATAATGCACGAAATTAAAGCTCGATTTGCGCGCGTGCATTTGTGTTTGGGGAGGCGAGTATAGGAAAAACAAATGAAAATAAAAACACACCGCAGCACAAACGAGAACGGCAAGTGACAGGATATAAATTTATAATTACAGGAGAGTGATGCATAAATGAATGAGTTCGTCAGTGTATGAAGACTTTTATTATTTGCATACATTTTTGCTTACGTGTGTTTCGTTTTCCTCCTTTTTTCCAGTCACAATGGGTGTACTGTTTACAATAAGCTGTCATTAAAGGTGTATTTTGACATGTCACACTTGTCTCGTATGTATATGAACTGAAAATGGCAGTTGTCACGACGATTCATTGTCGTTTAACACGAAAATGTGGTAGAGTTGGGTTTAGCTTACGCTTACTACGCCCGCTGATGTTTTCTAAGTGGGCTATTTTATAGTTGCTGTAGATAATGAGTGTGTAAATTAAAATGTCAATTGATTATTAGCTCATCAAACGGGGTCGTTGACAGCTAATGTTTTGTTCAATTATATAAATGGCGTTGTTTGTTGTTGATATGTAAATAGTCACGAGCAAAACTGACAACGCGGTTCATAAAAAACACCTTATTGGTACTTTGTTTATTACTTTTTTTTAACAACGGGCCTCCAAAATACGCGAAGTCATTTATTGGTCAATCAGGTCACTACAAGAATATCAGCTGATTGGCGATTTACATATGTTTATGTCCATTTGCTTTAATTAATTTAACTGAGAATACCTTTTTTGGGCTCATCAGTTCGATAAGCAATTCTCTTCTGGCATTACTTGCTGTCTCCATTAGCGTATAGCCATCGCAGGAGATCTGTCAGTTTAATCGCGAGCGAAATGCTCATCGCAGATAATTTTTTGTACTTGGGCATTTCATCGCAGAAGGTTTAATTTCAAAAAGTGCTTACGAAAACTACTGTATTCATAAAAAATAGCTTACTCCATGTTGTTTTGAGCATGTGTCGTCATCCTCATGCCAGAAGTATGAATGCGCAAAGTTATTAGTTTTGAGTTATTGTGTTGACTTGATTAACCTTTGGATGTTCTATGTTATACCAAAAGCCAGAACACCATGCATACATGGAAATCACATATTTTACAAAATCAATTGCATAAATGTAGAGTTAAACCTCGTAAAGAAAACGTTTCAAACTTGATTTCCCAAAATTTTAATTTTTACACATTTATGTTTCTGGCATACGGGCGACGATATATTATAGAAAAACACAACTTCATCAAAAGTTAAGTTCAAAGTTAAAACAAGCTGTGAAACTAACTATTTGACAGTTAATCGCCTGCTATGTATCGCCTGCGAATGTGATGAGTGGTCTCCACAAGCGATTCTTCTCCGGAGATCTATCGCAGGAGATGAACAATCGCTAATGCAAATAGCAAGTTACGGCTTGTTTGGGTTACAAGCAGCCGGGCATATATATACGTATTCCCTAACAATAGTCACTTAGAATTTTTACAAAGAATAGGCCATGTAACTAGAGCTCTTGTTAGTCGACTAGTCGACTAATCGGTTAGTCGAATAGTCGAATAGCAAAAGTTGTTTAAAAAAATAATCGTTTTCACTCAATTCACACCGTTTGCTTTCGACTTTTTCAACTAACCGTTCACAAAAAACGAGCCGACTATCCATTCATTTTCAATTTTTCGTTAGTTTCTTTTAGTAAACATTTTTTAATTTTTTTTTTAATACTTATGCTCATGGAAAACCCCCCAACCGCGCTAATAAAAATACATTTATGGTAAAAACAATAATAATTTAAAATTAATTTAATCGAATAATTTCGGTTAGTCGATTTTCAGAGTACTCGATAGTGAGCTGTTAGTCGAAAGTGAACAGTTAGTCGAAATCTAGCGGTTAATCAATAATTACTATTCGACTATCAACCAAAAAAAAAAGTTGCTAATCGACTAGTCGACTCACCAAATAGCCGAATAGTCGATTTTTAACCAGAGGGTCAATTCCCGTTCTGCGTTATCGTGAAGAGAAGTAAAAAGTATAAAATTAACACCGAAATAAATGCGGTGAAAAAGTGTTATTTTCATCACTTCGCAAAAACGAAGAACGAGAGCCAAATTTTATATGAAAATTTACAGAAATACTTCTAAAAGACCTTCATGTGCTGCCACAAAGATCATTGAGTCTATGCAAGTCCTCTGTGGTAGGGCTGGGCTAAGGCGTAACCTAATAATTAAAGGAGACAAATCAGAACGTCCAAGTGTAAAAAAAAGAAGAGTTTTCTTGCACTAAACCAATGCCGGGCATTTTTGGCTTTCCTATTCCCGCGCGAATGGCTGCCAGCGTTTCTTGTGCAAAATATCAGAATACTGTTCTGCTCTACGCTTATCTACACTTTTAGTGCACTCATCGAACAGACCGAATGTCTACCCTTGCCCAAACCCAATTTAATACACTTGATTGAATAATGTACTCAGCCGATTTATCGATTATAATCACTCCATTGCAGGTGCAACTTCCAAAGTAGCTACGAGCAAGTTTTTCAGCAAGATAAAGTTGCCCAGCACTACTTCAAGCAGGACAACAAACAATCTCAGTGCTTAAGCCACTCGAAATTAAAAATTCAAAAGACATTTGTGACAACATTTAATTACGCATCGTTACTATAGACTTTCAAATACTTATACATAAATAGTATGATTTACTTTAATTTAATAAATCGATTGCTGTTCCTCATTTACTTACTTTGTGCGCTTATTCACAAGTCGCAATTGATTTTCCCACTTTATGCTTGTCAAATGCCTCGCTCGCTGACCTTTTGTCGCTTAACGACTAAAAAGTCAAAATGTCAAATTTCCACACTAAAAAAAAAGTCATCTAACCGCAAGTTACAGCAAGTAAAACGGCGAAAAGCCACATGAAGTGGAAAAAATTAAAGAAAAAAACTCAACCAGGAAATTTTCACATTTAAATTTATAGCTTTGTTAGGCGCTTTACCTTTATGATTGTTGTTGTTGCTATTGCTTGTTGTCGCTTGTGCGCTGCAACATTGTTGCCGATCGGCTGTTTCTGTGGCTGTGCTGTCAACTGTGTGCAGTTGTAGGAAAAGTAAAAACAAAAAAACAACAACAGCTAGCAACAAAATCAACCGTCACAGCTACGGGTATACGAAAATCACTCCTTTTGCCGATCGTCCGATCAACTAACCGAATAACACTTACGACTAGCTGCAATGGCCAATGGAAGCGCGCACGCTGTCAATAGGAGCTGCAGCTGCAGCAGCGAAGCCAACAGCAACGTAATGGCGGGATTTACGTAAGGCGCTGTTTGCTTTCTTAACGACAATACAGCAACAGTAACAACCAAACAAGTTTAACAACAATATAGGCAGGCAAAAAAAAACATTTAAAAGAAGTACAAAAACAATTGCAGCCACTGCAACTGTGAACAGATCAAATACTCGATAAATAGACGTTTTGGTTTTTTTCTTTCTCCTCACATTTTCTCGCTCTGCGTCTTGCTTTCGAAAGCGCACACTGTATTTTAAAAGAAAAACAGCGGCAAGTGAATATATAAATATATTTACATACATATGTATGTATGCATGTGTACATGTTTGTAAATGCGACCGCTAGCTGCGCAACGTAACGGACAATCGATCGGCGACAATATTTTCCAAAGCACGGCGCACAAGCTCATGGCCATATTTTGCAGATTAACGGCTATAAATTAGACTCGTACATGCTGGCCAAGAACTCGGCAGATCCTTTTGGTCTGTTTTTCACGCAAGTCAGATTTTTATTTAAGAAATGTCAGCATACGCTTTAAGCAGCTTCTTTAGATTTATGTAGCTTTTTTCTTTCCTTGATTTCCTTTAAATTTTTCTGATTCCTTTATTAACTTTGCTACATATTCTTGTTTCTTTCCAGGCTATTACCAACCTGCCGGTCCATTGATCTCACCACACGTTCTACCGCCCTTAGCCGCCGCACCACCGCCGCCTCCTAATGTGCCACTTTTGGCTGCAGGTGCTGTCTCCGCTTCCGCCGCCGCTGGCTCATCCATTAAGAAGTCACAACAAATACCTGCGCCGCTTAGCTCCGATCCGGAGCTCGCAGCCGCGGCCCAACAACAGCCACCATCGTCGGCCACCGCCGCAGATAACAGCGCAGACAGTGATGTTCTCATCACTGGCGGCGACTTGACACCTTTCCGCTATCCGCCGGTCGCACATAGCGGCGCGCCAACCACCACACAGCACCAGCAGGTGCAGCAGCAACAGCAGCATCAACAACAGCTTCATCAGCAAGCTGCCGCCGCTGCTGCCGCAGCTGCTGCTGCTGCGGCCGCCGCCGCACATCAAAGTTCACCATATCCACGCTCGATGCATGCACAGATGCACTACTCGACAGCGTATCCGGCCAACTATTGTACACCATATCCGGTGGAAGCGGTTTGCTATTCGCCGCCCGCCTATCAGCCCTACTTTTCGACCAAAGTTTATCAGAGCGCGGGACCGCCCCCACCACCACCCTCTACATACCGACGCTACCCTTACTATCAACCTGGTCATCCGGCGCCGCCACCGGCCGAATTGTACGAACAGGGACCGCCACCACCACCGCCGACGGCGTCTGGTGGTGCTGGCCAAGCGACTGGACCGCCGCCACCACCAACGTCCATACAGGGACCACCACCAACAGCACCGCCCCCCGGAACACAGCTCGTGCCGGCTGGACCGGCAGCACACGCACAACACCTCGAGCACTATCCAGGTCCTCCGGGCTACTACACTGGCTATAGTCCGGGCGGCAGCGCGGCGGGTCAGTGTTATACGCGCAGCATACAGGGACCGTATATGGGTAAGGAAAAGTATGGTTCTCACCTGAGTGGTAGTAGTACATAACTGGGGTAAATAGGGTTAGGGGCTCAAAAATCATTGGTTTTTGAATTTTCTAGACTCAAAACTCTTACTCACCTAAGCACTCATTTTCTCTCTTCCATCTCTATACAGAATATCCACCACAGTGTCCGTGTCCCATGCAACAATCGTGTCCAAAAAACGTCCATACTGGGCCTCATATTGGTAGCAACAACGTCAGCAACAGCAACAGCATCGGCAACAGCAGCTCGTTCAGCAACAACAGCAACAGCAACAGCTGTTCAGCGATGAGTCATTTGAGCAACAACAGCAGCAATATGCTGATGAATGGCAGCAACAACAACAACAGCAGCAGCAGGGAAATCAACAGCAGCAGCGACAACAACAAGAGTTCGATTACGACGAACAGCCAGCACAACAGCAGCAGCTCGATGAACAATTCATTGACTACCAGTAGAGGCCCAGTTAAAAAATCGACGACGACGACGACAACATTGACAACAACAGCAACAATCACTAGCGCGCCAATAACAGCAACAGCTGTAGCGCTCACGGCCACGGCAACTACGCCAACCCAAATCGACGAGCTGCTGCTCTTTGGCAAGCAACAGTCGCAGCAGCATTTAGATCTGCTGCAGGCGGTGAAATCCGAGCTGAAGCTAGAAGACTCGGATAACAAAAGCCAGTACGAGGAGAGCGTAGTGCAGCCGCCGACACCGCCCGAGAGCTACACCACCAACGACGAAAAGTTGTTAGACACCCTTACCGAACACGAGTTGTCGTCGGCGTCGCTGCCGGCGACAATTGAAGAGGCTAACGCGAAGCTGCACTTTGAATGCGGCAAAAAAAGAGATAATAAGTTGATGGAGGACGAGAGTAGTCGACAACGACCAATAGCGCGATTTGCCGCCATCGGCAATCGAACGAACGCAGCACAGCCAATACTAGAAGCCTACGACTTGACAACAGCCGCGACGGTGACACCACCGCCCTCAACGCCGACCTCGGCAGCAACAACCAACGGCGGTAATCGCAACGGTGGTAGCGTCAGTGCTAACTCCACCAGCAGCACAGCCAACTCTGCCGCGCTGCCGTTCGTAGGACGCAAGGCGCGCATTGGCAAAACGATGGCGCGTGAAATGGTGTACGCAGGTGCGGCCGCTAGCGTGGCAGCGCAGACGCAGAGCAGTTCGCAGGTGCCATCGACGCCATTAATACAAGTGCGTACACTGCCACAGCAGTCAAGTGTGGTGAAGCAGTCCCAACAGCAGCAGCAGCTGCAAGCTCAACAAACTCAGCAGCAAAAACAGCAGCAGCAGCAGGCGCAGGCACAGTTGACTGTGTTGCAGCCTGAGCAGCTGTTGGCTGCCATCACACCCAGTCCTTCACCACAAGTGCCAGCGACGCTAAGCGAGTGCTTTCCAGGGATGACGGGCACGGCAGTATTACAGTCGCCACTGCAGACGCCCTTTCTGATTAAGACGGAAATAAAGGCGGAAAAAATTAAGCTGGAAGACGAAGAGCCGCTGCTGAGCGCAGTGTTGCAGCTGCAACAACAGCAAGAATCCAGCTACAGTCATGACAGGGACGGCGAGAAAGCCGAGTTGAAGCTTATTAAAGCAGAGCCTCTAACGTCGGCCTGCGAAGAAGTGGCGGCTGTCGTAAATGATGCCGCTGCTAATGCGACACTAAAACCGTTAGGTAAGTCGAATTTTCACTTTTCAAACTTAGTCATTTTCAAAGCTTCCATTTCCTCACCTACCTCCACAGGTCGCATGCGCCTCTTGCCCAGCTGGCAGCAGCCACCAATTATACAATGCGACATTGACCTCTCCACGACCTCAGACGACGATGTGCTCGATCTCTGCCACAGCCCGACCACATCCACATCGGGCGGCAGTGGCCAAAAGTCACGCCTTAAGATACTTAACCTACCCAAGATTCAGCAACAGTGCAAGAAATCGTCTCCAAATGGCTACAAAAGTCTCATCAAACAAACCGAACCACGCACTTACTTGTGCCTCAGCGGGCGCAAGCTGGACAAACGGGGTCGCTATAGCAAGCTACAAATACGACAAGCGGGCAAGGTAGGCAGCGTCGGCGGTACGATACGACGACGTCAGCTAGTGCTCACCGATCAACAGAAGAAGCAGCTGAAGCTGCGCAAGAAGAAGCTACAAGCGCTGGAGCGCCGCAAGCAGGAATTGTTGGAGAAGCGACGCGCGGCAGCCAAGCAAGAGCGCATGCAACGCAGGAAGTTGCTGAAGAAATCGATGGTCGCAAGAGGCATAAAACAGGAGGAAATCGAGCCGAGCGTTGAGGAGATCGTCGACTTGGTGGACGAACCAGACCAGACCGAAAGCGAATTCAGCGAAGTAACACAGCCGGAAATGCCAAGCTTGCGCATGCTGCTGTCGGAGAGCAGTAGTCTCAGCAGCAGCAGCAGCGGTAACTGCAACAGCAATAGTAACAGCAATAGCAACAGTAATAGCAATAGCAGTAGCAGCATGAGCACACTCAGGATTACACCTAAACCTTCGCCCAAACGTGGCAAGGTGCCACGTAAAACCTGTATACCACTGCACCTGCTCGAAACAATCGACTCGGTGGCGCGTGGTTACTTCTCAGAACCTGAAACGTCACGTTGCAGCGGCGCGTTGAATACGTACGCGAGCTGTGATGCAACTGACACGGAACCACCCATGGATAAGTCGGCATCTGGGCGCAAGCCGAAGAAAGAGAAGAAAGCGAGTGCTGAAAAACGCTCAAAGTCTGAAACGAAGAAACCTATCAAGAGCGCTGATGCATCCAGCGCTGCATGCGAAGTTACTGATGTCGAATACACGCTTGCGGTGGCGTATGCCACGAAAACTACCTCAGCAGTAGCAGCATCTGCGTCCGAAGCATACGAAATAGTGTCCAAGACACCTTTGGATTTGTCCCAGTACACAGCAGCAGAGCAGGTCGAGCTAACAGGGATTGTTAACAGCTACGGTTCCAGCAGCAAATCCGCGAACAAATCAAAGCGTACGCCGGCTAAGCGAAAAACCGCTAAGGCGAAGAGGCCAAAAAAACAGGGCGCAAGCAAGAAGAAAGCCAACGTGAAAGTAAGACAACAAGCCAGCGAATTTGACACGCCTGCTGCGCAGATGGCTGTGACAGAACAGCTCGGTTTGGAAACCAATAACAATGAGTATGACAAATGCAGCGCTGAAGATGCGGTGCTCGAACTAGCCGACCGACAAGCACAATTCGAAGTAGAAGCAGCGGACGAAGAGATGTCAGCGTGCACGTTATACGACAAAGCAGAACAGCAGCAACAGCAACAGCAACACTATGCGCAGCCCCTCGAGAAACATTCCAATGCACAAGTGTTCTTGCCGCCAGTGCCGCCGATGCCGCGCATTGTTTGCCAGCCACATCACGGCGCCAAGCGCACGCGTTCACGCTCCAAATTCGGTAGCCGCAAGCGGCAGAAGGTGAAACATTCCACGGTCTCGTTCGAATTGGACGATCGACTGCCGCCAGCGACGCGCGTCGATGTGGTGCCAAAATGGAATAACGGGTGGACGTGGGAGGGTGAACCATTCCAGGGCGCGGTATTCTTGAATGTAAGTGCTGAGTGTTGGTTGAGGGTAGTAAAATGAATTTTCTTTTCAAATACGTATTTCTATGCTTACAGAGCGACGATCCACTGGTCATTCGCACCTGTTATCCCGCCATGCGGCACTCGGAGGGCGACATAATACGCACGCGCGACTGCGTGCTGCTCAAAGCGAACGAGGACAATGACTTGCCGTATGTGGCGAAAGTGGCGCATATCTGGGAGAACCCCGAGGATGGTGAGTTCATCAACTATTTTAACTAAATTTTGGGCTGGGCGTGAACCCAACGCGTTAACATTTTTTTTTTTTTGTATTGCAGGCGAAATGATGATCTCTTTGCTGTGGTACTACCGCCCCGAACATACCGAACAGGGCCGCCAGCCCAACGACAGTCCCGACGAGGTATACGCGTCCAGACATCGCGATCACAACTCCGTTGCTTGCATTGAGGACAAGTGCTATGTGCTCACTTTTAGCGAGTATTGCAGGTGAGCTGGCGAAAGTGCGCCACTCAGCGCTTGAGGCGGACTAATATAACCTTTTTTTTTATTATATTCTATATACAGATATCGCCGTCGCTTGCGTGCTGCCGAAGAAGATATCGAAGAGGAAGTCTCCATTGTGCCGAAACGATCCAGTTGTTATAGCATACGCACGGTGCCTGACAACACCAATCCCGAACTGGTGATGTTCTGTCGGCGCGCGTATGAGTTTCGCACGAGGCGACTGCTGAAGATGCCCAACAAGCAGGACTACATTGTCGTGAACGGCTAAGCGGGCTGCAATGAGTGTGATGAAAACACGCAAGGAGAAAAAGGACAGTAAGTGAATGCAAAGCGCGCCACCACTGCAGTTACAAGTGAGGTTAAGTGCGTTTAGCAACAAAAAAAATCACTGAAGTTTTTAAAAAAAAAACAAAGAGAAAACAAGTAAATAGTATTGTATTTGAGGTTCAAAACATTTTAGGCATGGCATACATATAGGGTGCTACATGGGGATTTCAATGCTATGCGCTATTGAAATTAAATAGTGCGAAAAGTCATTAGGGCCTTCTACAGCAGTAATTTTTATTTGCATTAATTATTTATAAGAGAAATTATTTAAGTGACATATTTTACATTTATTTTCCACTACTATTTCTGATTTACGCCTTTGTATGTGTAAGCTTAAATCGATGTGTGGCTTTTTTGCCAGTATACTGCTCGCGGCTTTTTTGTTATTATATAGTGACTAGCGTATATGTATGTACTCGTATATTTAAAATATTTATAGAAAAAAAAAATATTACTTTTCCTTATTAACTTATACTGGAGACGCTGAGTGCGAGATTCAATGCTTGAACTATTATTGTAAGCAGCAAAAAATATGCATTTCTAAAACAAAAAATCCTACAAAAAGTAGTAAGTGAAAATTATAATGTAGCATTATTGAAAATTAATGACGCTGCGAAGTAAAATTTTAAATTTAACCAAAAAACAGTAAATCACAGAGCATACAAAACAAATATTTAGCTATTTTAATGAAAATGGCGCGTAGCCACCAGGTATCATGTAAGAAATAACCTAATGAAATAGCTGCAGTTATAACAACAAAAACAAGGGACCCGGCGTACTAAAAGAAAAAGAAAATAATACTTTTTGGAAAAAAAAGATAACTAAAAAATTCAATTATCACAAAATAGTCAGTTTAGTTGTAGGCAGTGAGCGTTTAAAGAATTTACAAAACTTGAAAAAATTACAATAAACCAAGAGTCAAAAATAAGTAAAAAAAAAAACAAGATTTACAAGAAATCGAGTGAATGCCAATTTTTTTTTAATTTGTTGCAAAAATCTGCAATTTTTACGCAAATTTTGTTTGAAGTTTTTGTAAAATATTTTTTTGCAAAAATATTCTACTGTAGAATTATTTGTATATGCTTGAACTGCATAGCTGATAAACTTGTGCAAACAAGTTTCGCTATTTTGTGCTTTTTCACTATTGCTGCTTTTGAATTAATTATTATATTTGGTAAATGCATATTATTGCAGGCATACAAAGATTTATTGCAATTGTAAGATATTTTCAAACATTGGGAACCATTTTTTTTTTGTTTGTTGCATGAAAAACATGCCATGCAAAAAACTATTACGTTCAAGAAAATACATGTTTACACATTGCAAACTCGATGTTTTGATACAAAATTTAGCTTTCGAAAATGCTTTAGTTGGAAATTTGCATAAAATTAAAAGTAATAAACCAAAACAAATTCATTATCCAAATTTTTAAAATAAAATCTTTTAAGCTAAAAAAAATGCCAAAAAGAATAATATTCAGTTTACACAATCTATTACATGCATCTTCGAAAAGAACAATTTACATACAGGCTTACCGACAAAAATCCTTTTGAGTTCAAGGGCAATTTATATTAGAAAAAATATATACCTAAAAATTGAAAGAACGCCAAAGAAGTCATTTTCAGTTTGCGCAAACAATTGCTCAAATTTTCCGAAGCAATATTATAAATTTTAGATAAAATAATTTTAAATTTTCTTGGCAATTTCAATATTTTTTTTGAAAAATTAAAATAAATTTTTAAAATTTTTTTGCAGAAAATATTTATGTTTAAAACTTAAAAATTGTTACATCTTTTCTAGAACCTCTTAAACAAATGGGGTATTCACAACGGCATCGTGTGTTACTGTTGTGTGTCATAAACTTTAAAAGGTTAAATGAATGTTTCGAGAACTGGAAACCACATACAACTACATAGTTTTTACCGCTGTAAAAATTCATAATACATATGAATTTTATGGTACCGTGCGAATCCCCTTAATATATTTTTAGCCGTTTAAAGTTGACGACACACAACAATGCGACACTTACCATACCGTTTTGAATAAAATGATTAGTTTTTTTTGTCGGAAACAAATAGAAAATTTATTTAAAAATAAAGATTTTTTATTCATAACAAAATGTTAGCCTAAAAATAAATCAGCAAAATTGATTAGTACATTGTTTGTTTATTTAAATTTTATTGCTAAAGATTGTAAATTGGCTTCAAATAGTACTGCATTTCTGAAAGATTTCACTTTATAATTTTCTCCAAATTGTAAACTAGTTAAATTTTTTTTTTAATTTTGAAAATTCCCAAAAAATCTTCCAAAATTAGTGCATTCGGAATTAGCTTTAAAATTGTATGAAAAATTTTTTGCAAAAAATTTTTTATCAAATTAAAGTATCAGAATTCTACTTTCAGCTCTTTTTTTATTTTTTCATAAAAATAATTCTATACCATTTTTAATATTTTCCATTTCTTTTGTTGCAAATTTACGCAAGCAAAAAAGTCTTCGAACGATAAATTGAAAATCAAAATTTAAATGACGTAGTAAAATAAAGCAAAACAACAAGAATTCAAAATCAGAGAAAAAAATATGTGTAGCAGTAACAAATATCAAAAAAGCAGCAAATAAGCACAAAATATTACAGTAACAAAAAAAAATATTTTTACAGCAAAAACTAAGTAAATTACAAACGAAAACAAAGTGGTGGTGCAAAGCAGTCGCAGTAGGAGAAATTAAAAGGAATGGGAAAATTTGTTGACTAAAAAATTTTCTCAATTGTTGAGCAAAAAATAAACTATTTCTACAAACTTATAAACAAAAAAATATTTCTACTAAAAATTTTCAAAATTCCTCAGCAAACAAACTATTTGGTTAAGATTAAATTTTTTTTGTAAAAATTTTACAACATAATTCATTGAAAAAAAGCTTTGCTTCAACGTAAAAAAATGTTTACCGAT